ACCCCTACTCCTATTTTGACAGATGAGAGAGAGAGATAAAGACGGAGAGACAGAGAGACAAAGACAGAGAGACAGAGAGAGAGAGACAAAGACAGAGAGAAAGAGAGAGCGAGAGAGATAAAGACAGACAGAGAGAAAGACAGAGACAGAGAGAGAGACTGAGGTTCATAGTGGGGAAGCAATGTGCTGGCCGGTAGTCCTAGGGCAGGTTACTGTGCTTGTCACCACCAGGGCACACAGCCTCTGTATGATCACCAGGTTCCCCTTCCTGTCCTATAATGAGCATTTCTAAAGGATGACTATTCTAGAACATCAAGGCACTCTGGAAGGGAGGGCACGGAAAACTGGACTCAACCTCCTTTTTTGTTACCCAGCATATCCAATCTCCCCTTCCTCGAAGCCTTTTGACTAGCTCTGTCACCACCACCCAGAACGGCTGCTGGGAGCTCCCTTCTGCCTGATAACAGGCCCCCCGGCCCCCCGCCCCCCTTTCCGCTGCTGATCGGAGAACTGCCAGACGTTGGGTACTGATAGGATGCACCATCTCCAAACCGTTCCGCGAGCCAAACAGCATCTTAGCTGATGATGGGCCCTTTTATTTCCAACTTGACACTTGGCCTGGATCAAACTTAATTATGCCCCGTTTCACCCATTCACCAAGACCCAGGATGCTCTCTGTAGAAGGCACTTTTCTTCACAACCTCTGCTCTGGCAGGAGGCCTTTTCGCCAAAAAAGAAAAATAAGAAAGCTGCCAGACCGCCAGCTACAGAACCTCGTGTAAGACCATGGCAGGAACAAAATGCCCAGCCCCACCCGACAGGGAGACCACCACGGTTAGTTTCAAACATTTTCTAGAACGTTAATTACTTGGACAATTTTCTTCCTTTTATCCTGGTAAAAGGAACCCATCTTTAAGCACTGTAAGCCATGTACTTTTCTTCCTAATCCTGGAGGAGACTAAAGAGGCAAAAATAAAGGGATTTATGAGGGGGTGATGTAGAAGGGACAGTCATTCCTCATTAAGTATTACCTTACTTTTGCCATCAAGTCGATTCTGACTCATAGCAACCCTAAAGGACAGAATAGAACTGCCCCATAGGATTTCCAAGGAGCGGCTGGTGGCTTCAAACCGCTGACCTTCTGGTTAGCAACTGAGCACTTAACCATGGTGCCACCAGGGCACCTCAATATTACCGTAAGTGCCTGCAAAGTGTCAGGTACTAATCTGGATCCCTGTAACAACAAAACCACATGCTCTGAGTGCCTGTACTGAAAGTGCCTTCATTTGTGTGGGTACAGCCCCCTCACCCCCAGCATTTCTTAAAATACAAAGTGACATCATGGAAGGAGCAGGAAGCTTTGTGGAATGAGCTGAAGACCTTGCCCATGAGCTGCTCTCATTGTTTGCAGCGACCCCTGTTTTCATTCATGCCATAAATAATATTAATAATAAACACTATACTGTGTTTAAAGAGCCTGGTGGCGCAGTGGTTAAGTGCTTGGCTGCTAACTGAAAGGTCGGCGGTTCAAACCCACTAGCTGCTCCACGGGAGAAAGATGTGGCAGTCTACACCTGTAAAGATTATAGCCTCGGAAACCCTATGGGGCCGTTCTATTCTGTCCTGTAGGGTCGCTGTGAGTTGGACGTGATGGCAGTGGGTTTGGGTGTTGTTTATACTGTGTTTGTTTTCTATCAGGCACTCATCTGGGTGCTTTGAAAATATTCGTTCATATAATCCTCACAAGGCTGAGATAAGCACTATTGTCATCCCTACTTAACAGAGGATCCTGGAAGCCCAGAGAGGTTGACTAACTCACCAAGGATCACACAGGTGTGAGCAGGTGGAACTGGGATTCAAACCTGCCGACCCTGGGTCCAAGGTCTTTGTTGGTTCTAAACTACTACATTCACATATTTGGGAGTGTCTCTTCTGTCCCAGGCACTGTTCTAAGTGTAGGGGACAGAGTAATGACAAAACCCCGACCTCAATGAGTCTACAGGACAACCGAGTTAGAACAGTCAAAGATTAGGGCAGTTAACGTGACCAGTGCTATGAAAAAAAAAAAACAACAAAGTAAGGGAGGGAGACAGGTAACAGTGGTGGGGGAGGGATGCTGCCAGTTTAAATAAGGGCGGCAGGGAAGGCCTCCCCAAGAAGGCAGCACTTGAGCAAGAACTGGAGATGAGCAAAATGGGCCCAGCAAGAGATCTAGCCATCTGGCCACAATCCCCAGCCTGGGAAGTATGGCCCGCCGGCATCTGCCCACAGTCCCCGGCCTGGGAAGTATGGCCCGCCGGCATCTGCCCACA